TAAGTATGTATTTTATTTCTCCCATTACTTTGTAGGCATTTTGAGAGAACAGCCAAATTGCCTTTATCTTTCTATCTTAAAACACTGATATCTATTCTATATCTGCACTGTCCAATAAGGTACCCATTAGCTACATGTGGCTGCTTAAATTTAAGTTAATTAAAATTAAGTAAAAGAAAAAATTCTGTTCCTTATGAGCCACATTTCAGGTGCTCCATAGCCGCATGTGGCTAGTGGCTAACATATTGGACCACACAGTTAAAGGACAGCTCCATCATCACAGGAAGTTCTGTTGGATGCTTCTGATCTGGACATAAGGGTCAATAAGTATTTGTTGAATAGGAGCAATAAGAATCAATTGGCCCACAACCTTTAGCTTTTGTAAAACATACTGACTTCAACTCTTTTTGAAAAGGTAATTATTTAGGTTTATTCATCTAAAATGTCATAGTTATTTTTTATTGCACTCAGGAATGGATATACCAGGGAATATGTATATCATGGAATATTAGGGGAAATCCACCACATATTGAGTCACCAAAATACGTCATTATGAAATTTGTACGCTTTGTAAAGCACAAAAAGGATTAGTTTGTTTGGGAATACTGCAATAAATGTTGAACTAAAACTTTAAAAAAATCAACTGAAAATTTGGCAAGTGAATTTGATACATGTGCTCAGGCCTAAGGAAAAAAGTTAAGAATTGTATTTTCTTTTCTGTTTTTTAGCAAATGTGTAAGAATGTTGGAAAGACTTTCATTCTTACCTAATTTGGCAGGAGCAGCTATTTTTTACCTTAGCATATGAATGTAGTAAAAACTACAAGAGCCCTTCCATTATTATATGGCCTAAAATTAGACCCTAACATTAGACTCTAAAATTAGACCCTGACATTCATTTAGATTGGCCAATATTCATAATTATCTCTCTCTGACGCATTCTCTTGCTAGTTGATTACAGTTTGGACTTCCCAGAGGAAATTTTGCGTTTTTTGGGAAAATATTACAGATACTATTTCCTTTTGAAATAGATGCTCTGTCTATCCTTGAAGCATCTAAGATCTTAGACTTAAAGTCATCTCTGGAGAAGCTGGTAGCCATGATGAAAAAAGGCCAAATAGGACTGAAATATTTGAGAGTTGAATTTTGATAAGGTGGGAAAACTTAGTTAAGCTTAAGAGACTTCTAGAGTTCGTATTTACTCTCCTAACGTACACAAGAGCAAGTCCTTCAACATCTTCCCGCCCAGCATTTGTAGTTTTTGTGCCTTCGTAGCAAGTGCAAGGTGAAGTGCATGACAACTGCTGGAAACCTTCTCATCACAAATGGTCTAGCCCAGGAATGGGAAATGGGTTTGTTCTGAGGTCCCATCCCTATCATTTGGCAGGAGCCTTCTAGAGCACAGTGTTGAGGATAACTTGGAGGTTAGGTGAAAAACAGACCACATTTGCTTAGGAATGTCTGAGGGGGCAAGGGGGGAACAGTATGAGTGAAAAGACTGACCATCCGTCTATTGGTCAGTGCAGCCTGGGAAGTGCCAAACTGCCATAATACTCCTTATGGGTCTCCAAAACTCTTAGAACATTTCTTCCTTTGGGGATTGAATGTCTCGATGAAGAGGCCACTGCACTATTAATTGCTAAAATATTGCCCAGAGGTTTCTGCTATTGGACCTCGTTATGGATGAAATTGTCATTTAGTGAGGTGCCTTCAGTTGTTCAGTAGTGGCCGCCCTGGGCAGAGCATTCAAGGGAGAGCCACTGTGTCTGAATCTCAGTGCCATCGTACATAAATCACATGAATGCGATCTTCAAATGGCAGAAATTCTCAGGGGAGATTGTAATTTAAGTCACCTCTCCATTAATTGAACTTAAAAACTGAGGAATAGCACATTCATTGAAAATTATGTTCTAGAGACAGCGTTATTGAAGTGGAGCAATGCTCAGAACACATTTCTATGAAAGAAATAGGTTACAAAGACTGCTTTCGATATCAATGCTTCCCAACTCATCTGGGGTGAAGCAGACATGTTTACTTGTCTGTCTGTCTGTCTGTTTCCTATCTGTTGCAAACCACTATGCGGGCTTACCTGGCGTGAATAGTTTGAAGCTCACAACACATACAACCCCAAGGTGATTTCGACAACATGGGAACTGCTCTACATCCTGGTCAAGGGACCTGTCCACCAGTCACAAACTCGGATGTCCTGATGATGTCAGATTGGTATAAAAGTTTCTAAATGCTTACTCCCCATTTCTGCACTTAGCTGATTGCAGACCGGGAACAACAATTCAAAGGCCAGTTCTAACAGTGCGTCCTATGCAATCCCATTTTTTGTAAAATAACATACATGTGTCTCCATAAGAATTCTTTATGGTACCCTGGACACAGGGAGATGCTGTAACACTGCAGGTGCTCAACAAGTATTGTAGAATGAATGGCATTTCCAGTCTATACATACCTGAACGGTGGTCCATGTTAGCAAAGTAACACCAAGGGGGTTTGAGCGCTTAGCGGATTTCATGGGTTAAAGGCTTTCTGTTTGTAGGTTACTTTCCTTTTGGAATTAATTTTTGTTTGTACTTTTTAAATGACAGATGTCTATTTTCCCAATCTATATTAGAGTCAAAGAGTAATTTCTAGTTCTGGTTGGGCCAATAAATAATTTCTTTCTAAAAGTACAATACAATTAAGATCGTCAGACCGTTTCCTGGCTATAAAATGCAGTGAGTTCAATTTCTTTTTTCCTTCAAATACAAAGACAAAACATATAAATTACATAATCCAGGTCATTGTCAGTGCAGTTGGTCCATGCATATTAACACAGGTTTTCTAATGCAGGTTGTAGAATGATGGGGGATGAAATAGTTTTGCGAGATTTTAAAGCTATTCTTGAATAAGAGAAAAGGAGAAAGCTATCTGACAAATTCAAAACAAAACCTTTTTAAAGTGTGGCCCAAAGGAGTATGATAAGGAAAACAAGAATATCTCCTAGGAAATTTTGGTATAAATAACAGTGCTATATGACTGCTAGAGAGGAATATATACAAATATTTCTGTTTTAATTTTTTTGTATCTTTTTATTGAATTAATTGTATCTAGATGATTTTACCATTTATCTTGAGTAACAGAAATTGGAAAGCTATGTTCGAGACACCACTATAAATGCTAAGAGAAAAGGCCAAGCAGAAGAGAAGATGCTTATAGATAAGGAACTAGGATGAGCAGCAAGATGGGGAGAAGTTAATAAATCTTTGCTTCATTTTCATATTAAGATGTCTTAGCCTCTGGAATCCAGAATGGGACATGTTTACTCTTCTTAAAAACAGATTAGAGTGCTCTGTGTTTCTCATTTCTGCCTCTGAGCCCACTGAGACAGTGGGTGTCTCTCCCACATCATGGGAGAAAGCCAGTCACCTGTCTCAGGTCAACCAAACACTTCAGTAAGTGAAGTGTGACAACCACATCTAAGCACATGACGTGATCTCCTAAAGAGGTATCCTCAGAAGCCAGAGGCTCCCTCTTAAGCTAAATGCTCTATCAAGGGCGGGCAGACCCCTCATCCCATTCACATCATCTAATTCAAAATCCCTTCCCAGGTTCTCTTTCATTCCCACTTCACACGTGACATTTAGGGGCTCTATTAACACTCATGGAAGGAGACTCCATGCCCGGGAGTCTGCTGTGTACATTCCATATCGTATTTCTTTAAATCCTCAGACCCACGCTAAGAAGGTACTATCATCCTTTTACAGATGGGGAAACTGAGGCTTGGAAAGCTTAACATCATCTGTCCAAAGGCCACCCAAGTTGAAGCCGCTCTTGGGGAATTCAGACCATTTCTGCTGTTCAGGGCCACCTGAGGATCCCCAGATTCCTCAACAGTGATGCTGCCTTCACACCTTCTTTTGTACTTTTCCCACCACTTCTGGGTGAGTACTAAACATTTTTTATTTTTACTTTAGCTCTAGGGTTTGTTTTTTGTTTTTGTTTTGTTTATTTCTTTTTAATAAAACCATCTTCCACTTTCTATAATGACCTCTATGCAATACTTTTGACATGTGGCTATCATAGGGTTTTTTTTGTGATTTTTTCTTTCTTTCTTTTTTTTTTTTTGAGGAAGATTAGCCCTGAGCTAACATCTGCTGCCAATCCTCCTCTTTTTTCTGAGGAAGACTGGCCCTGAGCTAACATCCATGCCCATCTCCCTTTACTTTATATGTGGGACGCCTACCACAGCATGGCTTGCCAGGCAGTGCCATGTCCACACCCAGGATCAGAACCAGCAAACCCCAGGCCGCCAAAGTAGAATGTGCAAACTTAACCGCTGTGCCACCGGGCCAACCTGGGTTGTTTTTTAACTGAAAGAAATTTTAGAAGGCATGTAGTCTAATTTCCTTATCTTGCAATCAAGTAATTAAGGACCAAAGAGACCAAGTGACTCAACTTACACGACATCACTCAGTTTATAGCACCCGGGGGCCTGGGAGCCAGGCCCACCCATGGTTATGAAATGCTGACTCTGATTAATTTTTAAAGTTGTCATTTCCTAGATTATTCTTTGGGCTACACATATAGTGTATTCTAGGAATTTAAAAGAAAATCTTTGCATTTTAATATTGAAATTAAAGTAATTTGTAGGGATACAAAACCTGCTCAGTCTTCGCTCAACATTGTCAGCTAAATTTTTTTGTACAAAGAATGGAAGATTCTGTTGTAAAAATAAAGATGTTTAGCATTTGTAACACTGGAAAAATAAAATAAATCACTCCAAAACATTATATTTGTTTAGGAAATGAAAGGATCACTGGGGCCAGCCTGGTGACATAGTTGTTAAGTTCGAATGTTCCACTTCGGTGGCCCAGGGTTCGTGGGTTCAGATCCCAGGCATGGACCCACACACCACTCATCAGCCATGCTGTGGTGGCATCCCACATACAAAACAGAGGAAGATTCATGCAGATATTAGCTTAGGGCATATCTTCCTCAAGCAAAAAGAGGAAGATTGGCAATAGTTGTTGCTCAGGGCCAATCTTCCTCACCAAAAAAAGAAAAAAAGATCACTGGTCCAATCTGAGTAAGTGCTCTTCCTGAGGTAAGAGTGTCACGTCAACATCAGTTTCCTGGTTTTGATGATATACCATGGTTATGTAAGCGATGGTTATTGGGAAAATTGGGTGAGGGTACATAGAAACTCTCTAGACTATTTTTGCCACTTTTTATGAGTCTTAAACCATTCCAAAATAAAAAGTTATTTTAAAAAATGTACTGATATATTGCTATGACAACCAGGCCTGAAAAGTTTGTGCCAAAAATGACCGTGCCGCTGAGCTCTTCCTTTCAAGGGCACAGCAGTTCGGCGCTCCAAATCAAGCCCCACCTCCCTGGCTGCCCTCCATCCTCAGCCTCACAGTGCCACCCTAGCTCTTGGAACCAGCTTCAGAACTCAGGGGGCTAAACAGAATGGTACAGGCTGGCCTGAGATTCTCTGGGGGAATGTGTCTATGGGGAAATGCTCCTGTGTTCCAGAGACCCGGTTTCCTAGTATACTCTGGGAGCCCTGCCCGTTTGTAACTTGGTGGTTGTCTGTGTGCTCGATGGCTTGAGCATGACCTTGGGTTTACCACAGAGGACAAGGGAAACTGAAGCCACAAGCTTTGAATTTCTTCTGCTTTGAAATAAGCATTCATCTTTAGATGGGCAAAAAAAGTTTTTACTAATAGAGTGATCGATCGTATTTCTCCAAGCCAAAGTCTTCTAAGAAGGCTGTGATCCCCCCCTAAAAAAGGTATTTGTGCTTCTTCTACTCCTTTACTGTTTTAATATTGATGTTAATTCGTGATCTTACTGCAAAAGACTTTCTGTCTTTGCTTAATAAATACAGTCACACATGGTGTATAGGATTGTGGGTGCATACCCTGAGACACATCTAAAGACACAGCAGAACAGTTTGTATTGATAACCTGGCTCTCCTGGACATCACCAGCCTGTGCTCACAAAGGCAGCCACTTCAAGATGACTGTGTGGATCTCTGCCGCTGACAGTGCGCCCTCCACTCTCTCGGGAAGTCCCAGCCCTCGCAGCGTTCTCATACTCAAGCATTTCTGGGAAGCCCCAGGGGCTGTCCTTTATGTGGACCCCATACGCCATTTGGACAGTTTTCTCCACTTCTTGTACCTTCCGGGAATCTCTGAGACAACGGTGGGTGGGGGCTCCTGTGTACTGTGGAATGGCATCTCGTTCACGGGTTCAGTTCTCAAGTCAGAGCACACGGAGAAAAGAATATAGAGTCAAAATCTTACTTGAAGGTATTCTCGGCGGTCCAGAACTACAACAGGTCATGGTTTCTCTGGGCAGGGACCAGATGAAGGGACAGGCATGAACCGAGGGACGTCTCGTTTGAAACTGTAGAATGAGAACAGCAACGTGTACACGTGGGAGGCTTGTGAATGCCAGGGAAGAGCAGATTCTTGTCACTAGTTCCCACTCACTACGGGCCTCTGTTCTTTCCTTGAATGGGAATTGGGGGGACCAGAGGTGGCCTCCCTTCAAGCCTCAAATCTCCAGTTTATCCCTCAGGTCTGCAGGTGTCAGACTCCCAAATACAGCCCAAAGCGCACAGACAAATTATGGTGGTCACCTACTTGGCCAGCCAGTACACACTTGAATCTCAGGTCCAGAGAAGCCAGTTCCCTTGTCATGTGCCAAGGCTCTCCTGCCCACGGGCTCTTCCGTCACCCGTTCCCCTATTGTCTAACCCCTCTCAAGCTCAGCCCGCTTTTCCAGTTACTCAAGTATCCTCATCAACTCTCCCTCAAACCCTTGCCAATTCCTACTTTTAACTTAGGCCTGCTCTCATATCTGAAATGTTCTCTCTTATCCCTGTCTTCTGCCTACACCACATCTGATACATATGTACACAGTTATATCGGTATTCATATCTACACCGTGTTTTTTATGACAACATAGCCAGCTATTGTCGCCAGGTGGTTGCCTCACTTCTGGAAGCAGTTAAGCCACTACTTAACTACTTCAACTTCTGGAAGTCGCTCTGGAATCCCACCTGTGTCCCTTGCCCCCGTTGAGCCTCAGTTTCCTCGTTAGTAAAATGGGGATAAATCACAGTATTAAACCCACAGGATTATTGGGAGAAATAAATGAAACACTGTAAGTGGATCACTTCGCATAGTGTTGCACAGAAACAAGGGTTCAATCAATGTTAACTCTTTCTCGAAATTCTTTCCCCTTCAAGTTACACTGAGTCCCACCCACCCCAGCCCTCTTTCCTAAACTGATTTCTCTTCACTCAAATCTTTATGCCCATGTCGCACCACTTTGCACTCAATAACACATCACTTATCAGGAGGGACTTTTTTTTAACTGTGTCGTACAGGTTATTATTGTCTTCTCAATCTTCTTACTGACAACCAGACTGCATTCTGTATTTGTCTTGTATTTCCCAACATAATGCCGGACACTTTATGAGATATGCTACAAATAATCCATCCATCGGCTCCCTGTATCATTTTAAGGGAAACGCAATGACTCATTTGATTAACAGTTTAGAATATTCATATTTCTTGAACCTCTCCTATTTTTTTATGCTTTGATCTAATAATACCCTCCCCCATACACAAGTGGGAAAAATAAATTAGGTCCTCTGTGTTTTCCAGAAACCATTTCTTTCCTGTTCTTCCAAGAGTGAGAAAGCCATGATCTCACATTATCAAAATGGGCCCAGACGCCTGACGCAGTTGCTAATTATTGCTCCGCTGACGTTTTCTGATGCGCTTCTGACCTGCCTGTCATGAGTTGGGGATGCCAACACAACAAGTTTACAAAGGAAACTTGGCGGGCAACGGGGGATTTATGCCTTATTGACCTTGTAGATATTATATAGACACGATCTAAAAGATCCTCAGTTTGTGTGGTTGGCAGACATTTGTTCAATGGAGTGTGTTTTCTACGCCAGATACAGTGATAGGCAAATCCATTTTTATAAAGATCTTTCCACTTGGATATTTTACGACCGTGAAATCTCCATTAGAGAACATCAAACAACTTTTGGCAGATATGATGTTTGAGGCTATTAGCATAATCCTCACTCACTTGTGAAATGACGCAAATACCCCAGAAATCATGATTCGAAGGAGGATTTTTCAGATGGCAAGCTGCTTCTTCATAGTATTAATTAATCCAAATATTTAGGAAATTTGGCTTGAAGAAAAATGTGAAATTGAGCTTTTAAATACCAGCTTGGCAATAGGATGTGAGGTTCGTATTATCCTTTCGAGAAAGGCGATGCTAATGAACAGGGGTTGCTGACGCTGCATGAATGAACAGCTGAGACGTGCTTCCTACTCACGCTTCTGTCCTTTCTGCTTCTTATTGTGGAGAGTCCAAACGATTGCAAGATTAAGGAAAGATCCTTTAACACTAGACAAGCTCACAAGTAGAAATCAACTAGACTGATGGATTATTTAAATGATGAAGGGCCTTTTAACTTGTAAACAAGAAGTGAGGATTTTGGTCTAGGTTAGATGTATAGATACACCTTAAGTTTCTAGCTCTGAAATCTCAAATTTGAGAATATGAACTATTCAGATGTGAAGCTCACATCCAGAGCATGTTGGAAATAATGTTGTCTCTTCTCAGAGCATGTTGGAAAATAGTACTTCCCTTTCCTTAAGGAGCCTGAGGTGAAGCCCCACAGGAAGCAAGACTTGACCTTAACCTACTTACATTTCAATTAATAAATCAAAATTATAACTTTTTTTTTTTTTTGGTAAGGAAGATTGGCCCTAAGCTAACGTCTGTGCTAGTCTTCCTCTATTTTTTTGTATGTGGGTCACTGCATGGCTTGATGAGCAGTGCATAGGGCCACACCTGGGATCTGAACCCACGAACCCCAGGCCATCAAAGTGAAGCACGTGAACTTAACCACTATGCCACCAGGCCAGCCCCCAAAATAATAACTTTTATATATCTCACTTAATTTAACCTCAAACAGTTAGGTGGGACAAAAAGTTTTCTACCCCAAAAAATGTAACCTTCGTAAGATAAATAGAATCTTTTAGATAGGCATAAATTTTTCTCAATAGAGGAAAAATCATTAATTTCTAAAACACGTCATCAAGTCAAAATACATTTCTTATTTGGAAAACAGATACTGTAAAAACTATCATATGACATTTTGTTTTCAGAAGATGGCACCAAAAGTCACTGCTTAGCAATCAAATAGGAATCAAGCGTGACGTGTTACCAGAGTAAACCCGCCACGTTAGTAAATTGAAAGACTATCCCAGGCCAGCTAGAAGAGATTTTAAAACTTGAAGGTGCAGAGGCCAGCCTCGTGGCCGAGTAGTTAAGTTTGTGCTCTCTGCTTCAGTGGCCCGGGGTTCACAGGTTTGGATCCTGGGCGCAGACCTAGACACTGCTCATCAGGCCATGCTGTGGTGGTGTTCCACACAGAAGAACTAGAAAGACCTACAACCAGGATATACAACTATGTACTGGGGCTTTGGGGAGGAAAAAAAAAAAAGGAAGATTGACAACAGATGTTAGCTCAGGGCCAATCTTCCTCAGAAACAAAACAAAACAAAACTTCAAGGTGTGGCTTGAAGGAAAAAAAGGTTCAAATAAGTTTAGGAAGGCTTGGCAACCAAATTAAACTTTTTTCCAGTAAATCTTCTCAGAGCCCTTAAGGTGCTTTTTTTATTTCCAAGAGGGGAAGGTGAAATACGCTGTTTTTAAACCTTGCAATCCTTCTGTCACAAAACATCTTAAAGGCCTGGCATTTCCTGGTGGCATACTTTGGGAAACACAGTATGTTTTATGAGGTCTGTGACGGTATCCTGTGAGTAAATGAGAGGAGTGTGGCCTGGCAAGTGATCAGATGAAAATATGATTTTATGGCTGCGTAGAGAACTGCACCCAAAAAGTGTGATGAGCGATCAGTTCCACACAATTGCATTTAGCCCTGTCTTCTTCAGTGCCGTTCATTCATTTCTTTATTCAGTCATGGAGTTCCTGCCATGGGGCCAGGTGCTGGAGGCACAGAGATTAATCCAACACTCTCCTTGCCTTGAAAGAGCTTCCTCTCTAGGGTAGAAGAGGCAGTGAGATGTATGAATCCCATGGGAGGTGCCAGGCTGGAACACTGGGGCGGTAAAGGAGACGGGTGTCGCGTCTGTCTGCGAGTCAGACGACGCCTTGAGTTGGGTCTGAGCGATAGGGTTAGGGGCATTCCAGACTGAGGAGGATGATGGACAAAGATAAAGGCAAGGAAGCCACATGTCACGTTTGGAAGGCCTGCAAAGTGTTCCTACAGCCGGGACTCAGAGTGAAAAGAATTTCTTTGAAAGAGGAGGTTGCTTAATTGAGGGAAGATCTCTTAAGGATATGAGACTAGAGGTAAGGTGACTATTTAGGAGATGATCTCGGGGATCCAAGGGGAGAAACGGGCAGCTCCACTAGGAAGTGACAGTGGGGTTGAAAGAGAGTGACTGGTGTGAGGGACGTTGAGGAGAGAGTAGGACAGCAGTGGATGGGGAGCGGGGAGAAGGCGGAATCTAAGGTGATCCCCTGGGATCTGACTTGGGTGACTGGGAGGGAGGATGAGGGTGCCACTCAAGAGGCGAAAAGGAGCAAGAGACTGGGAGGAAGGAGGAAAATCCATTTGAGACATGTTGAACTTTAAGTACCCAAGGGCCATCCAGACAGAGCCATTTGATCAGCAATTAACTGGGTCTATGAGAAAGCCATCTGGACAGTCGTAAGAATTTTGGAAAATGTTTGCTTGTATCTCCAATTTATTTTTCATTAGAATTTAAGCTTGCTTAGGTCTCTGTCCTCAAAAGAAGAAAAGAAGGGAAGGAGATAGGAAGGAATGAAGAGGAGAATAAAAAGAAAGAAAAGAAAGGAGGAAGGAGGAGAAAGGTCACACTTCTTACAATGACATTTCTCCTCTGGGCGTGACCCACCCCTTTCTCAGTCACAGTTGCCTTCTCCCTTCTTTATTGCTCTAGATGGCAAATGGCTGCTGCCTGGCGTCAACATGGTCAAGAATATAGAAAATAGGACTTCCATCCACAAAAGTGTGGCATGACAGATTGCCCTTGCATGTCTGAGCCCAGGTTTCTCCAGTACCTAGTGAAAAGCTCATTAATTTCTGTCTTTGATAGGCACAGCTGCCTAGCCCCCAAAGAATTAAAATTGCCTCCCCAAATCCATCTTTGAAATGAGTTCTAAATGGAAGTGGGAAAGAGGGAGAGAAAACTGGATGGAACTGGATGGAAATGACTCCTCTAGCTTCTACTCTTTTTCTAAAGAACCTTAAAAACCTTCCCAACACCAAAAATACCCAGAGTTTTCTGGGTATCTTGCAAGCCCACGAATGCTGGCCACATGCTATGCTGCTTGCCTCAGATATGGATGCTGGTGGGACCTTCTCGAGTGAAATTAGGAGCAGTTATAGATCACCAGCATAGCTATTCCTGGATAAAAAGCGGCCCAGATGATTTCAGTGCTGCTTTCATCAATCTTTCAATTCCCCCGTTATTCTCCATCTTTACAGATTGGTGGTCCAAGCCCGGATCAGGCACGGATGCACCCAGGCGCTGTCAAAGGTGGCTTTATGAGATGCAGGCCCTCAGGCATAAGTACAACCAAGGGCTCCATGACCCTGGGAACCTTCCATGAACTCTTGAGCTCATTACGAGTTGTTCTTTCTTGGGACAGGCACCTGTACCCAGAGCAGGGAGAGAAGGCAGAGTGGCCGACTCCGTGACTGTACTGCCACCTCTGTCCTCCTTCACTCTCCCTGAACTTCTGCCTCGAAAATGGGCTTTATCATGAATTATTTTATTTCAAAACATTTAATTAAAATAATACATGCATATATAAATTGTTAAATGATACACAAGGGAATTTGCAAAAGCAGCATCTCTCCTATGACCCTTCCACATCCCTGGGGCCGCTTCCCAGAGCTGACCATTTTCTAGTGATTTCCATCTTCGGTCCTCCTGGAAGTTGCCACGGTAACGTGGAACTATAAGCCTATGCTTCTATTTCTTGAGTAGCAACTCTTAACACTATCTATTGACTCCTCTGCAAAAGACAAGCACTCCTTTCTCATCTATCTCTAAATATTTTATGACTACAGAATAATTTTTAGTCCTTCCCTATTTAAATAAAGTTATTAATCTCTCAGGGCTGGCCCCAAGGACGAGTGTTTAAAGTTCTGCACGTAAAGAAAGAACACTCAGGATGAACTCAGCTTGCCAGTAGCTATTAAGGAACCTCTTCCTTTCAGATTTTTAAAACTTTTCCCTATGTCTGAGATGGAATGTCTACCCACATGGCTAGGATGTGGCTTAGTCATTGTGGTTTGAGCAATAAGAGAAATATGACTGATAAGACTGTTAGTGAGCCCCAGTGTACGTGTTTTCCTCTTCTTCCTGGCACATTACTAGCTACATTCCCAGCCTCCTTCCCACTGAGCAAGACCCCTAGGTCACGTCTAGAGATGCTGTGTGGCTGAGCTGGGACAGAGGCCTGAGTTCCCCAGTTCTAGACCAAGCTGTCTTCTAAAGAGCGGCTCTGGCGGCCCGGGTTTGCAGGTTCGGATCCCAGGAGCAGACCTACTCCACTCATTGGCCATGCTGTGGAAGCATCCTACCTACAAAATAGAGGAAAACTGGCACAGATGTTGGCTCAGAGCTAACCTTCCTTGAGCAAAAAAAAAAAGAAAGGAAGATTGGCAATGGATGTTAGCTCAGGGTGAATCTTCCTGACCAAAAGGAAAAGTTATTAATCTCTATTTCCTGTTCTAGAAACCTTGGACAGTGTCTCCTGACTCAAACACAGAAGAATATTCAACCATGGCATTCCTCCACCCCTGATCTTCCACCCTTTTTATCTCCTTCTGTCAAAAAGGACAGGACCTCCAATGTGCAAGATGAAATGGATGACTCCTAAGTGGTGTAACAAGTGTCACTGACTCTCAGGTGTCCCCCCTCACAAGTCCATTGTCAACTGAGCCTTTCAGTGGGCTGCTAGCATTTGAAAATGATGACGGCTCTCTCATTCTGTCGTTAGTTCTTGTTATTTCGCTGTTCACTTTTGCATCAGTGTGCTTTGAGGGACAGGTACAAATTAAAAGATCAGAAAGCATTTAGCCTTCTCCCAAACAGAACTGAAAGTCAGAGAAAAAGAAGGAGTGGAGAGTGTAGGCTAAAATGTAAAGAAGACCCAAATCCTATTACGGTGTGTGTCAGTTTCTTGTGGCTGCTATAACAAATTACAAAATGTGTGGCTCAAAACAACAGAAATCTATTCTCATGGCTTTGGAGACCAGAAATCCAAAAATCAAGGTGTCAGTGAGGCCATGCTCCCTGCTGAGTCTCTAATGGAGAATCCATTCCTTACCTCTTCCATCTTCTGGGGGCTGCAGGTGTTTCTTGGCTGTGGCTGCATCCTTCTCTTCTCTCTCTGCCTCCATCTTCACATGGCCCTCTCCTCCTCTCCCTGTGTGTCTCTCCTATGTGTGTCACTTATAAAGACACTTGTCTTTGGATTTAGGGCCCACCCAGATAATCCAGGATGATCATACCTCGAGATCCTTACCCTAATTACATCTGCCAAAGACCTTTTTTCTAAATAAGATCACATTCACACCTTCCAGGGGTTAGGGCATAGACATATCTTTTGGGGGGCCACCATTTGACCCACTACACTACACCTGGAAAAATATGTTCTGATATGGAAATGAGAGAAGAGTCCTTTTTCCCCCTTTGTCCTCTAAAACCAGGACAGAGAAGACAACAAACGTCTGGAGTCTCTTGCCCAAACCAGGACAAGAACTTGTATCCTCTTTCTCCCTTTCCAGCCCCACGAAAATCAACAAATCGTTTTCTCCTGATATCCTTTCCGGTTCCATGTAGGTCTGCATTTCTCATCTCTCACTGGGAATATAATTCCCAAAATACCCTGAGAAAGGTTGTTTTTGTGATATTGCCAATCTGCGTGCGAGGAGGGTTAATTACGAATTCCATAATGGGAGACTCCCAACCCCATGAGGTGAATTTACCAGAAGCAGGATGATCCTGACCTTCAGTTAAGGATATCAGTTACTTTATCGATTGAAAAAAATCTCATTAATGCGCACACGCAGGCTGTATTCACATGAAGAAGTCCCAGGGATGGACTGGAATGCTTGATCTGAAGTTGTTTTTCCTTTTCTTTTTCTGTTTGTTTGCTTTACAAGCAGGAGATTTGAACCAGATGATAGAGAGGGCTGTGTCAGGCATGGGAATGGAATTGGATTCCCAAGATGGTGTGGACGTACCCTAGAAGGTAGTTACGTTAGTTTTCTATCGCTGCAGTAATAAATACCACAAAGATATTGACTTAAAACAAGACCCATTTATTAGGTCACAGTGTCCATGGCTCAAGTGGGTTCTCTCTTTTGGGTCTCATGACCCCAAGCCTGGACTCTTCTCTGGAGAATCCACATCTAGGCTCATTTGGGTTGTTGGCCAAATTCAGTTCCGTAGGATTGTAGTACTGCGGTCCTCATTTCTTTGCTGGCTGTCAGTCTAGAATTGTTCTCAGCTTCTGGAGGCCACCCACATTCCTTAGCTTGTGGCCCACTCCATCTTCAAAGCCAGAAATGGTGCACTGAATCCTTCTCCTGCTTGGGCTCTCTTCCTTCCACTTCTGCCTTCTGCTGCTTTTAAAGGGCTCATGTGATTACACTGGCCCCACTCAGATAATGCAGGATAATCTTAGCTAAAAGTCAGGTGACTTATAACCTTAACTGCACCTGCAAGGTCCTTTGACAGCAGTATCTAGATTAGTGTTTGGTTGAATGGCTGGAGGATGGGAAGCCTGGGAGGATATCTTTAGAATTCTGCCAACCGTAGCAATGCTGAACCTGTGACCTCTTAGTGTCCCGGCACAGCGACCTTCCAGCTTAATCACAGCAGCTGGGGGTTTTCTTTTGATTTGCTGTTACTGTTGTGGTTTGGTTGCAAGGAATTAAAATTAGGTACACATAATAAAACTGTTGGCTACAAATTGCAGATTATTATTGGTGAAAAGTAATAGAAACCAAATCAGAGATTATTGGTTCCAAGTAATAGTTTTTTTGGTTTGTTTATAATAATAGAAACGCACTTAAATAAGCTGGAGCTGCACCGAGACTTTATCAGAAGAAAGAGGAGCAGCTCGTGGAGCATAAGGGATCACAGGCGAGATTGGAACGGGACGCTGTAAAGCCTGGAACTGGACTCTGTAAGGACTGGAACTGGATGCTGTAAAGGCTTGAACTGGACGCTATAAAGCCTGGAACTGGACTCTCTAAAGCTATCAGCAACCGAAGCATCTACTCGTTCTGTCTCTTACTGGGAGATGTAGAGTTTCTGCTGATTATCGTGAGTCTGCTCCCTCTTCTCTCACTTTCTGTAGCTCTGCTTAGTTCACTTTATCCACATGGCAGAAGTGTCCACCTCATCTATAAGGCCTACCAGACCAAGAACTCAAGGAAAGCTTGATCGGCCTGAGTTCTAATTTCATATTCACCGAAAAGAGTATCTGCAAAGCTTTCGTCAGGCATCCACATCTGGTCCAGTTAGCTGTGGTCACGCGGGCGGGGCACATGGCCTGTTGGCCGCTCAGCAAGGCTGACTCTCAGAGACACAGCTGCAGGCAGGCAAGGTTGGAAAGGCCTCCGCTACTCCTAGTTTTCTAGGAAATATTGTGTTTCAGGATTAATCAAGGGGAATTCCTTGGGCTTGGAATTTGATGGCCTATTAAATACCACAAAATTCTTACTTGATTTTCTGATTATGTTTTTATCTTGATGGCCATCTTTTTATAAATTTTCTTAAAATATGTTTGTAATTGAACCCGATCCTTCTACTCTGTTTTGAAGAAAGCAGAGTACAGTCTTTATTCTTATCATAGATATTGTCTCCAGGAACTTTCCCATATTTCTGGGTATAGACAATATGAGTTGATATCCTTGTGGGTAATGTGGACCTTTTATTCGTGGGCAACTTTTGCAAAGAGGCTCCAAAGGTGAGAAATGCAAGTGGAAGGGAAAATTCAGCTGAAAGAATGGAGGATGGAGAATTCATGAGGCCCAAAGTCAGAAGGATACGAAGAATGCAAAATCTGCAAGTGTATTTAGCCAAGCCACATGGAGGGAATTGTTTTAACCACTGAACTTTGATCAGATTCCCCAAAACAGGCATTTCTCCTCACTTTCTTTCTTTCCTTCTCTTTATGTCCCTCTCTCCTCTGATTTTCTTGAAGTGTTAAAAGAATGTTGCTAGTTCCTTTCTTAACTTCTTTATGGAGCTAATTACAAAAACAGAAATAAGAGGAAAGTACACTTTGACCATTTGTTAAAAAAAAGTTATGGTTTATACAAATAGCTGGAGTTTTCCAGATATGGAATAGACCTTTCCAGTGCCTTGGTGAATCCATTTGCAGAAAGATTCGAGGAAAGCTCTAAATACAGTCAGTGCCAGTTCTTGCAGGAGGTGTGGGAGTTTGTTTCTCTACATCTCCAACAAGGGTGGGTGCCTTCGGGAAGTTGCCTCAATAATGAGATTTGAGCACACTTTCTGATGGACTTTATTCCCCCGATAGGGCATGAGTTTGATAGACGTCTTCTCTATCACATGTTGTTTCCCTTCCAAGAAAGCATGAGTTATCTGGACTTTTTTCCCCTAAATTACATGGAAAGATAGAAAAGAGGGAGGGAGGAAGCAGAGAGGGAAAAGAGAGTATTTTAAAAGCTAAAACCAACATCAAACCTTACTAAGGCAGAGGTTGATTGTTAAATAAAATAACGCCGTTAATGGGTAGTCAGAGTGGTTCTAAACAGAGCAACACGTGTGAATTTTGCACGTCTCTAAACCACATTTAATAGTGCTTGTAGACAAAAAATACAATCACAAGTCAAGTCTATGCTAAAGAAAGCATTAAAGATCATTAGGATACATTTAATATTAAAAGACTTTGCTTCTGTCTTAAAAATGTTCTGTGACTTTGTCTTTTCTACAATTCTGTTGGAACGTTTCTCCACTCACTCTGGTCATTCCAATTGCATGAACCTATTCTCTATTTCCTATACAAAGCTGCTGTCCTTTTGACAATTTCATTGTTGTATAAAATGATAACACAAAAGTAGGTTTTTTCCCATAATTTCAGCGTTGCCAATTATCTGGATCATCCAAACAGTGCCGACACATTTTGTTCCGACTCTAATTTGACAGAGGACATAGCCAAAGGGAAAGATTTATCTCATTCTACGCTCAAACCCTTCCCTGTTTTGCGTGAACAGCTGATTATAGAGATCAGGAATTTCATTCTATTGACTAATAACCAAACAGAATTCCCTGTGCTAAGTGCTCTGGCTGCATCTTGCCTAAAGACCTGGGGGAAAAGTCTGTCCTCCTTGTAACATTTTCTGATAAGCACCCCAGCTGGACGGCATCTGTGAAGGGTTCTCTAAGGCATATTTCCACTAGTCAGATGCTATGCATCTTGTTTATGGGAAAATAAAACTTGATTCCCATTTTTGGAGTCAACTAAATGGATTCTTACTAAGTCTCCATTTGGGAGAAGGAGGCCATCCATTAAAATATCTATATCTGGAATCTCGTATTCAAAGAATATTTAATTATTTGGAAATAGTCATAATATAAATGTTTGGTTAAAAAGTATCAGTATGCTAAGCTGTAGCCGTAGTTTAATCTCAAAAACATCTCTTACTGGATCCTGAAAATGCTTTATTTGGAAGCAAAGGTGTTTATTTCATAATTCCTCCTATGCCTTAAATGTAAATCTCAGAGAAATAGAGCTTATCAGCTGATCACACTGGATGCTGGCAGATGGTGTCCTTTCCTGAGCACACATTGTGATAACAGGATGACAGTATGAAGTCTGAGTGTCTGGAGGTGGGAGGGAAAAGACAGAGGGAGGGGAATTGTCTCTTGCAGGGCAGCTGTTGGGGCTGAAAGCCATTACTCACTTCAAAGGTGCTGAGAACTCCGCCTGAACTGGGAGGTAATTGGCCTTAGCAATGGGAAATACTGGTAGAATCAGGCTCTCATAACTTCCAAAATCTTTATCTTTTTCTTTAAACTGAAGACAGCCAATCTTTGATTGCATTCTACCATCCCAACTCTTACTTTATTTAACGTGAACGGGCTCAATTCCCCTATTAGAAGGAGAGTCAGTTCAGACTAGATCCCAAACTGGACTGGGCTCAACATCTACTTATGAAATAAGATGAAACCATGCATTTGAAAATAAAATATGCCGTATGATGAATATATAAACTTTTAATATATAAACTTACATCCTTAAGAGTTTTGAAAATTTTTTTGTTTCACTCCTTGAGAAATCCTAGTTACATATTCAAACTGAGGCTTATTCATAATTCGAAATGTTTTACATTTTTAGCCAGCTTTAAATGTAAATTAAATAAATTTGAAATAGTTTTAGCTAAATGTATTTATTCACTTATATTCAAAATTTTTATCCATAATAGCCAATGTCTGAGTAAGAGAGTAGATTAAATTATTCCTTTAGTTATCAGACAATAAATATTTTTTGAGAGCTTAATATGTAGACACGAGGACAGAATGACACGAAAAAAAAGAAAGCAGTTGCCCTCTACCCTCAGAGAACCTCAGACCAGTGGGAAATAGACAATGATCACATGCAAAAAAGTGAAAAATTACACTGAGGTAAGCTCTCAAGAAAGGACTAAAATGCCACGAGGATGCGTCATAACCTCTTATTTGGGAAGGAAGGTGTCAAGGTCAATAACAAAAGCATTCTTCCGGCTGGCCGGTCCCCGTCAGCACTCTTTGCTCCCGTCATCCACCTGGAGAAGGGCCAAGGTGTGTGCGACTGCCTGGAAGATATGGGAGTGCGGCGGGAGGAGGGCCAGTCCAGCGCCCACGGGGTTGGGAAGACGATTTAGTCGTCCTTACTTTAGCCCAGAGGCCACGCCATCACAGCATTTTGGAAATTCAGGATTGGATTCTCTGCACTCTGCACCACTCTCTGCACTTGCCCGGAGCGCACAGACAACTCTCAGAAGGATGCCTTAATTCTGGATTTGGGGGAACCTGCCCCCTCCTTCCCCCAGCCGTTCAGATCATTAAATCACTTCATTTTCTCCCCCTCCCCAAGGTCTCCTCTCTTTTGGTGTGTGGGCTTCTGCGCGGGTTGACATTTGTTCATTCTCCTTGAGGCTCTTCTGCTGCAAGAGGAAAGGGGGCAAGTTCAGACCCCAAGGCTGAGATGAGAGAAGGAAAGGGCCCTTTCAGGGGCTCCACCTCCAGGTGGGATGTGTCGAAACCAGTGGGATTCCCAGCACTGTGGAGTCAGCCTGCTGGCACATCTCCTGTACCTCCCTGGGTGCAAAGATTGTCAATCTCCTTTCTGGCATGGAGTTACAAAAAGCCCCTCCTATTGTTATTCTAAACTTACAAGGTGCCAGGCTCCAGAAAGAAGGGAGGGCGGATGGAAAACTCATCTTTCTACAGGTGTAACAGTGAAACTGACCCAAGCAGATGGGGTGGGACAGGATCCGGAAGGAAATGCCATTTGAGCCGAGAACTGAGACAGTGGGATGAGCAGAGAGGAGAATGCTCCATGTGGAGGGGAAGCCGGTGCAATGAGTCTCCAGCAGGAAGGTTCATGGGCTGGGAAGGAGCTGAAAGAAGCCGGTGAGGGTGGACTCTAAAGTGTGGGGAGCATTCATGGTTCAGGATGAGACTGAAGAGGCAGGCAGGGGCTACAGGGACCATGCAAGGCTTTGTAGCCCACGTTAAGGATTTTGGTGTTTTCTTGAAGAGCAATGGAAAACCATCAAATGCTTTTAACTGGGGGCATAAGAAGATCCAATTTTCATTTGGAAAAGACAACAGTAGCTTCTATGTCCTGAATAGATTGGAGAGGGTCAATAACGGAAGGAGGAAAAATAATTAATTAGGATGCTATTCCAGGAGTCCTGATAAGACAGGTGGTCACTTTAATTGGGTAGCTTAAGGGATGACCACCAGTCTCTTTGGGGGAGGACTGGGGATAATCATTATCATGTATGTTTGCTGTGAGGTTTTGCAGAATCCTTCCTCCTGGGGACCCAACCACTTTTCAATAGATGAGTTTCAGGTCAAAATAATGGCTCCTCCAAACTCTCCCTTATCCAACCTTATGTTTTGGCCTGTTTGTCCAAAATAGCACCCTCAGAATCCAGTCCTGTGTGTCCTCTTCCTGCTCCTACTTATACAATGCTCCTTTGGGGTAATGCCTTTCCTCCCTTACCAAGATCAGTGCATCCCTGGCTGGGTTGGGTTGCAACTTAACCTTGGCTATAGGCCTGGTGATGGGAGGGAAGATGGGTGCGGATCCCAAGAGGCCACCAGTTGTCTTGTGAGGCATTGTTTACAAGTAAGAGGAAGGGGTGAGCTACTTCTGTAGGCTCACAGGAATTCAGAGGAATCCAGATTCAAGACATGGGGGAGCTTGACATCTGCAAAAACAGTGGAGCAAAAACCTCTGAAACGCCATCCATCCATGAAAACAATGAGAGAAACTGGCAAAAACTATCAGAGCCAATTTCTCAGAACTCTGGAAACTAACCAAAAGCTTGCGGTAACCAGGGGAACACTTATTGAAGAAAAACAGTTGAATCTCCGTAATTTTCTTACGGAGATTCAAAAAAGCAAGTTTTGTGGCTTTTTAACTTACCCAAATCCCTTCCATTGTGCCCCAGCTCAGTGATAGCCTAGCAGACCCCATCCTGTTTTGCTGGTGCCAGTCCAGAGGGAACAGAACAGACTTCATTCACAAGGAATTGTAATTATTTGTTTTGATTGGTCTGGTGGATCCCTGGAAGACCAACTCAAAAGGCTTGCCCCTGTGTTGCCTGACTTGGAATTCCCCCAGAGCTAAAACCACTATCTGGGAGCATTTGTCAAAAACAATTACAAGCAGATGTAAATAAAAAAATAAATAAGAGCTAATAAACGAGTTCAGAAAAGTTGTAGGCTACAAGATCAATATGCAATTGTCAATGGTATTTCTGTACACTAACAATGAACAATCCAAAAATGAAGTTAGAAAAACAATTCCATTTACATCAGCAGCAAAACAAATGAAATACTTAGGAAGAAATTTAATCAAGGAAGGGCAAGACTTGTGCATTCAAGACTGCAAAATATTATGGAAAGATATTAAAGGAGACCTAAATAAGTGGAAAGTCTTCTCTTTTCACGGATTCGAAGACTGGATATTGTTAAGATGGCAATATTCCCCAAATTGATCCACAGATTCCATTCAATCCTTTTCAAAATTCCAATGTTGTCTTTGCAGAAATGGACAAGATGATCATGAAATTCATATGGAAATGCAAGAGACCCCAGATAGCCAAAAGGATCTGGAAAAAAACAAACAATGTAGGAGGACTCAAACTTCCTAGTTTCAAAACATACTACAAAGTTACAGTTTTCAAAGCAGCATGGTACTGGCGTAGAAATAAATGTATAAACCAGTGGAATAGAATCGAAAGTCCAGAAGTTAGCCCATACATCTATGGTCAATTGAATTTTCTCAAGGTGCCAAGACCATTCAATGGAGAAAGGAACAGTCTTTCACCAAATGGTTCTGGAACAACTGAATATCCACATGCAAAAGAATAAATTTGGATTTTTACTTCATACCATATACAAAAAAATTAACCTAAAATGAATCAGACACCTAAATATTAGAGCTAAAACTGTAAAATTGTTAGAAGGAACCATAGGTGTAAATCTTAGTGACTGACACGTGCTACAACATGCATAGACCTATAAAACATTATGCTACGTGTCAGAAGCCAAGCACAAAACACTACATTTTGTAAGATTCCATTCACATGCAATATCCGGAATAGGCAGATTTATAGAGATGGAAAGTAGAGTCGGTGGTTTCCAGGGCATGAGAAGAAGAGGGAACTGGGAGGTATGTGGTTTCTTTTGAGGATGTTGGCAATGTTCCGGAATTAGGCAGTGGTGATGGTTGCACAACATTTGGAATATACTAAAAACAACTGAGCTGCAGACTTTAAAGTCATTACGATGGTGAATTTTATCTCAAACAAATTAGAAAAACATATTTGGAGGAACAATGACCCTGTTGTCCTCATTCTGTGAGTCCTGGTCATATTCTTTCCTATAAGGGCCCTGACTCGGGCATTACAGACCTGCCTTGGTTGGCATCTGACCCTCTTTGGGGCTCGGCTCCTCTGACAATTAAGTCTGGGCCCCATCCTCAGCTTCGTCTTCCTTCCTGCTGCTGGAAATGAGAGCATCTTTGTGTGCTACCAAGGGGGCCTTCACCTGCTTGTTAATCGTTCTTAGGCTGTATTTCTCTCTTAAACAGCTCATCTATCACACAGCTATGTTGCATCACGTCTCTTCCCCTGTTAAACATCCCAGTGCACCACTGCAGAAAATTTAACCCGTTAGACTACTGTCTTGCACCGGGAGCTGTCTCCACCTACTACTGATGATGGGGTCCTCATCACCAGTGGGACAAGTGGGTGTGCCAGCCCCCAAACTCCATTGTTTCACCTGCTGTCTCAGCACATTCCTGCTCCTAACTCTTGCAGACTGGGTGCCTTGGAAAAGTCTCTGAGATGGGGATTCAGCAAGTACAGTGTTTGTTCGGGAGTGCCCTGGAGAGCCATGCCTGAGGAAGGGAGAGAAAGCAGCAGAATGGGACAGAGAGAGAAACTGAGCTGCGCTTTAGGTCCAACAAGAGCCCCGGAAGACCCCACTGAGACCCCTGGAACTACACTGATCCTTAGTGTGGTCCTGAGTTGGGCCAAAATGGCCAGACCTTTATACTTCTCAATCGATCAGTCATTTCACGTGCACTGCTCAAGGAAGGGATGAGCAAGACAGCTCTCTGCAGCTAACATGACCCCGGAAGGGTCTGACGGTGGAAGGCTGTCTGCCAGCAGCATTCCCAGCAGCTGGGGTAATGAGTCTTGCCTTGAAGGCATCTAGGAGCAACAACTCAGTGTTCATCACTTCCTTCACTGGCTCTTCAGCTAATCTATTTTCATTATTCTTCTAGGTCTTCCCATAGGGATTAAATATGAATCCTTAGTTTATCACAGTCTACTCAGAGTTAACATTATATCACTTCTCAGAAAATACAATAACCTTGTAACAATATATTTCCATTTATCACCATCCTTAGTTCTATTGTTGTCATGTATATTACTTGACTTACTTTATAAACCCCCAATACAGAGTTAAAGTGTTATGTCTTTTAAAGAAATTAAGAGAATAAAAAAACTATGTAATCTTTTGTATTTGCCTACATATTTACTATTCCTGGTGCTCACTCTTTTTTTTTTCTTTCTTTCTTTCCTTCTCTCTCTCTCTCTTTCTTTCTCTGTCTCTTTCTCTCTTTCTTTCTCTTCCTTTCTTTCTTGCTCTTTCTCTCTCTCTTTCGTTCCCTTTCTTTTTCTTTCTTTCTTTCTTTCTTTCCTTCCTTCCTTCCTCCCTCCCTCCCTCCCTCTTCTCTCTTTCTTTCTTTCTTATCTAAATTTTCTTTTGGAGTCAATTCTCTTCAGCCTCAAGAACTTCTTTTATTTCTAATAATGTGGATCTGTTGGTAACAGATTCAGTTTTCAGATATCTGAAGAGGTCTTCACCTTTGTATTTGAAGGGTATGTTTGCTGAGTATAGAATTCTGAGTCACCTCAATTTAAAAATCTTAAGTAAGTAAATAAGAATTCCGGATTGGCAGATATTTCCTTTCTGTATTTTAGAGATGTTGTTCCATTGTATTCTCATCTCCATTTTTTCTGTTGTGAAGTTAACCATTATTCATATTACTCCATCCCTACATTATCATGCTTTTTTTTCTTTTTGTTTTGCTGTTTCCAAGATTTTCTCTTTGTCTTTGATTTTCAGCAGTTTGACCATGACATGCCAACATGTGGGTTTCTTTGTATGCATCCTGCTTAGGTTTATTGAACTATCTGGATTGAGAAGGTTATGGTTTTTCATCAAATTTGGGGAAATTTAAATTATTATTCTTTCAAATAATATTTTTTGCCCCTTTTTCTCTTTTTTCTCTTTTTCCTCCTTCTGGGACTCCAGTTACACATTTTTAAATTACTTGTTCTCGTCTCACGAGTCAATATCTTTTCAATCGGTTTCTGTTTTTCAGAATTGATCATTTTCATTAATCAATCTGCAAGTTCACTGATCATTTATTTTGTCGTATGTAATCTGCTATTAAACCTATCCAATTTTTCATTTTGGGTATTTCACTTTTTAATTCCAAAATTGCCCTTTGGTTGTTTTTTATGGTTTCTGTTGCTCTACTGAAATACTCTAGCTGTCCTTTTATTATAAAAATTTTTGCCTTGGCGGCCAGCCCCGTGGCCAAGTGGTTAAGTTCTCGCCCTCTGCTTCGGCGGCCCAGGGTTTCACCGGTTCGGATCCTGGGCACAGACATGGCACTGCTCATTGGGCCATGCTGAGGTGGCATCCCACATGCCACAACTAGAGGCACCCACAACTAAAAATACACAACTATGTACCAGGGGGTTTTGGGAGAAAAAGGAAAAATAAAATCTTTTTAAAAAAAAATTAAAAAAAAAGAATTTTTGCCTTGAATTCCTTGAATATATTTATGACTCTTTTTTTTTTTTTGATGAGGAATATTGTCCTGAGCTAACATCTGTTGCCCATCTTCCTTTTTTTTCCCCCCCCCAGAGACCCAAAGTGGTTAAGTTTGCATGCTCCACTTTGGTGACCCAGGGTTCCCGGGTTTGGATCCTGGGCATGGACCTCCACACCCACAGCCACGCTGTAGTGGCCTCCCATGAACTAGAATGACCTACAACTAGCATATACAACTATGCACTGGGGCTTTGGGGAGAAAGAAACAAAAGAGGAAGATTGGCAACAGATGTTAGCTCAGGGCCAATCTTCCTCATCAGAAAAGCATACCTCAAAAAAGAAAAAACCCAACAGGTCAAAACACTGATTGAACACTCACTGCTGGGACCACCAACACTGATTGTGGGCTGCAGAATCTCTTCTTCTGTGCCGACAAGGCCACCAGGGAACAGAAGTGCAGAACAGTAATATGTACCCAGGGCTCCTGCAGCCTTCTCCTCCCCTCTCCCCCCCAACCCCCAAGATCCTCCTGTGGCTGATGCTGGGCAGAGTGAGGGAGTCCTAGGCATCAGCAAGATGGAAAACCTCTGGAAGGCACCCAAGACAGGCTTTAGAGGCAGAGGGTTGAGACAGGAGAGAATATGGTGGTCACCAAGATCCTGGTGATAGCCCTGAGAAAACCGTGGCCCTGAGAGGACCAGCGATTGGCAAGACACACCATAAACCTATTACAGAGTGGACACAACCCAGAAATCCTTTGATCACGTCACACAGCTGCCCTGCTGCCCTCTAACAGACATTTCCTGGAGGTTACTGGCCCTCTGTGCCCCTTACAGAGGCTAATATTACACCCTTTATAGTCACCATTCAAGAGCTGGAGCCCCGTGGGCTAATTCATTTTTACAAGAGCAATGCAAGTGCACCTGTCAGCAAAGAGCTGAGAGGCACTGGAGGGGTCTTGAGGAGGAAGAGCACTGGACTGGGAGTCCACAGTCCCCCCTCAACACCCCAATAAGTTGTGTCATGTTGAGTAAATCACTTTCTCCCTGAGCCTGTGTCCTCTTCTAAAATCTAAACACCACTCACACCCTTGCCTCGTCCCTCCCTCCCTCCCATCCTTTCTTCCTCCATTCGAGCATTCAAACATTCGCTGAACTCCTGCCAGAAGCAAGTTGGTCTCTCCTGGATAGCTTCTGTGCTCCATCAACTTCCCTGGTTCCTGTGGGGGTCAAATAAGAAGCGAACGTGATGGCGTTCGGCAGAGCAGAAGGGCCTTTCCAGGCACAAGACGTGACTGCTATTTTTAAAGCGTTCCTATTTGAAAGGCAGGGCTTGATTTAGCATGACGAGGTACGAGTAACAATGGCCTGGCTTCAGGGGAGCTCTAGAATGATCCTTCTGCGTTCAATTCTAGTGAAAGCTGAACAGACCCACTGTGTTGTCTGGCCAGCCCATAAGCTGGCACAGGTCCACCCTGCCTGCCCTCTCTGTCCTGTGCCTCCCTCCTGTCCCCAGAGCACAGAGCAGGTGAGCAGGAGGGAGTCCGGGCTCCCTCACGCTGCTCACCTTAATCCTCAGCCAACCCCGTGAGAAAGAGAGCATAGCACATTGATGTTTGGGGGAGTTTCCTTTAGAATCTGGGGGTCAGAACATGGTTCAGAATTTTATTACAGGCTTATGTGTCCAGCTCCAGGCACAAGCAGAATCAATCAGGAGTGGACGTCCATGGCTTCCATTGGCTCATCTGTTCAATGGGGACATAGACAAGATCCGTTTAGCCTTCATATTCCCATAATTCTACAATTCCAACTCTAAAGCTGAGAAGAAAGTATAAAACGAAGACTTCTCGTTACCACATCCCTCTACAAAGATCCCCAGCAAATAAAAGCAAGACACATCCTTTTGTTGTCAGACGCCTTGCTAAAGTGCTTTGCAAATTGAAGAACCCATGAAAGTTAGGGTGCATCATGATTCTATCTCCTGGGGCTCAGTTTCTCTGTCTGTAAAATGGGTTAGTTAGATCATAGTGCTGGTCAGTGACAGCTTTTGCTGACTTGTTTCAAAATGGGCAAAGGATGTGAGAACAATGTCATTCAATTTTTATAAAGTTACATTTATTCTGTTTCTAAATTCTGTGATGATTCCTTCAATTTCTGGTAAACACATATCCCTTTTTTAAAGTCAGGGTAATAGAAGATGATTTTCTTATTGCTGTTGCTGTGGTTTGTTTTTTGCTTTTGAGTATCTTGCTGGCAACCCCACGTTGGTCATTGTAGTTTTAAAATTTATTTTCCTGGTCCGTGAAGTACAACCAACTGGAACTGATGGACCACAGCTCTTGTTTCTAACAAGTCTGTGTGTTATCTATTTTAGCAAATGAATGAGAGCATTTTTAACATGACGCTCTCTCAGTCTTTCTCTTGTCACCCAAACCCTAGCACCCACTCTTCATTCCAGCCGCCGCTCCTCCAGATAAGCTTAATCTCCACCTGGAACATCCCTCCCCTTCCGGGCCAGGCTCCTCCCTTCCCTCTAAACTCAAGCAAAGACTTGCCTGTTTCACAAAGCTTTCCTGAACTGCTCCACCCCGTTCCAGCCACTGTAATCTAAGTGATTACAGCCTGATGTCATGAATGCCGAGAAGTGAGACCAACTCCTGTCAGAGAGCATAGGCTGTCTGGAATATGTGTTTCTCTTTGTCTCACAGCAATGCCTTTCTCTACTTAATATTCTGTAACCACTTCCAAAAAGTTAATAAGTCAGAACATTTAGAACTGGAAGAATTCTCGGAGGCTGAGTGACTTGCCCAAGGTCACAAAGCTGGTTTGGGGAAGAGAAGGGACCAGATCCAGCCACCTTTGTTTTCTCTTCCTGCCAGAGTTGGTGACATTGGCCATACTGCCCTCCCTTCACAAATCCTGGGAGAAACTCTGCCCACTTTTTTTTTTTCTTGATGAAGAGTAACCCTGAGCTAACATCTGTGCCCATCTTCCTCTACTTTATATGTGGGACACCTGCCACAGTACAGCTTGATAAGTGGTGCCATGTCCGCACCCGGGATCTGAACCGGCAAACCCTGTGCCACTGAAGCGGAACGTGAGAACTTAACTGCTGGGCTGGCCCCTCTGCCCATTTTAATGCACCAACTTAACCCCTACTGGGTGCTTTCAGAACTTAGCCCGGTGGGACTTACCTCTCAGATAAAGAGTGCTCTTAGAGATTGATGACCAGCTATAGCAGTTTCCCAGAAATCGCCTGTGCCCTGAATTGATCAAAACCCTCAGCTAGCCATTTCTAAGGCAGGTCCTTGGCTGGGGGCTTGAAGTCACCCCACACATTCTGCAGCTGCCAATGGTCTGCCCTCTGCAAAGGACAGAACTTTGATGTCTAATCATTTCAGGAAGCTCCTCTATCCTTTCGAGCAGAGCTGCACATGGATTTCACACCACAATGGCCCAGGCGCACATACGTCTTAACGTAAACATGGTATTCCTTTACGTCCTATGACTTCCACCACCAAACATGGCTTTTATTTTAGTTATTTCCATTTGAGACAAGTGCAACTTTTGTCTTGATTGTAAAATACTGACCGAAGAAAATGGCCATTAGAAGTTATCTTTAAAGACAAATTTAGTAACTCTTTCAGAGGAAAGACCTCAAAAATGCTGGAGGGA